CTTCTAGGCGACGACGTGGGTCCTTCTCCGAGGGGTGTGGGTGCAGCGAGGACCTGGGGGCGTAGGGCTGAAAGTTCAGGCTGCCCGAGGGTTCAAATGGTTGTCAGATAGACACCTGTCTTTCTTTCGTTCCCTACCTTCCCTCTCGTCACCTGTTGCCTGCAAACTCACTCCCAAGGCAAGAATCTTGACGCGAGCTTGGCCAATGTCCAGAGTGAGCGGTTAGGTTCCGGTGAAACCTCAGTTCTTGGAGCTTGCTGGTGGTAGAGAGTAGTCAGCAAGCACGCTGTCAGTCGTCTCAGCCTTGAGCCACGGCCTGACTCGGTCTTTCCAGTTAAAGTCAGTGGTCTCACGGTCGGAGCCGAATGAGACGGGGGGGCTGCACAACGGACAACTGATTCGCAGCTCAACATTGGTCATGCTGGGCTGATGTGATTTTCGCCATCAGCGAACATGAGCTGTTGTTCCTGATTCCGCGCCACCTTTTTGAGTTCGCATTCAAATTGTTGGCTAAGCTCTCAAAGTCTGGCGGGTTGATCATTGATGCTTCTCGAGGTGTATGGGCAATGGCCCATCGCGAACCCCCTAAGCATCAGCAAGGGTGGTCAGCGGCTACTTGAAATGAGCCCTGGTCCCGTGGAGGAGTTGAGGCAGCGCTGTTGCCAAGAAGCCCATAAATTTCGGGGGGGGGGGGGGGGGGGGGGGCAGTTGAAGCCAGTCAGATGGGGGAAACCGACTGGTTGTGGCAGCGCACAGCCTGGCTGGCTGATCTTTACGATTGGCGCAGAAATGGAAGAAGGTTGATCGAGTAGAGAGGTTCCTGTAATCCGAATTGTTTGAGCTGTGGACGTGACAAACAAGCAGTTTAGAGGCCATGCGAGTGGGAGAGGCCACTGCTCTCGTGCTGGAACTGCACCATGTCCTCCGCGCTGGACACGGCATCAGCCCTACACCACGGAATAGCCTCCGTGATGGCGGATGCCCAACTTGGATCGTGGCTGTCGATAGCGCCAGCAATACATCCAGTCTCACACCAATCTTCCATCCACCCAGGAAGCGGTCCGCCTGCACTGCCATCTCAAAATTACCTGCTCAGCAGCCTCAAACAAACCAGACCGGCATGTGGGCCTGCGTAGCCCAGGTCAGCGCTATGAACAAACCCAAGTAAAGAACTGAGGAACCGTGAACGGCGCTTCTGTGTCTATTCTCATCATGACGAAAATGGGACGCCAAGCATCAACGGCCCTTGTCTGAGGCTTCCTGTGTCTGGGAAGGGCAGGTCCGCACTGGCGACTGGTGAACGGAACGGAGCAGTCGAGTGCGAGGCAAGGCAACCGAATGGCCTCTGCCCAGTGCCGCCGTGTGCCGCCCAGGTCAGGCACCAGCCCTGGGCGTTTGACGACGAGGCCGGCGTGGGTTTGCTGGCCTGACAGGGCAAGAGGTCCGGCGCGAGTCCCAACAAGGGCGGCGCTCGGGCAGCCTGGTCGTCTTGAACCGAGGCTGCTGGGACAAGCGAGCAGTGAGTGTGGGTTCGTTCGATGGGTGTCTGGCCAGGACCCATTGATCCACGAAAGTGCCGAGGGGCAAAATGTGCGATGATGGCATTGAAGTCCCCGGAGATTGACCCCTGGGCACGAGGCATGGACCCGGGCACGATGCGGCGGACCAGGATGTGGCCCAAGCCAGCCCGGCGTACGGTCCAGAAAAAGCTGGACTGATCATCATTCGGGGACGAAGGCCCATGATAGAGCGGATGACTGGCCGTGTGATATGAGTGCGTGCTCCCAAGGGACAGACAGGTAGGTAATCTTTGGTCAGGCTCAGGCGGTTGGCCAACCATCGTTGTACGTTTCTTAGATACCGTAGGAGGGGGTTGACTTTTCTGTTCAGACAGGATCGGTGAGAGTCAAGGATGATTTCATTTCTCGGTTCTGGTGCATATCGCTCGGTCAGATATTGTGGTCAGAGGACATGATGATGAGAAGTCGATGAAGCGGTATGGAGATGTTTCGAGGCAAGTCTGTTGGTGTTGGTGGGGAACAGGCAGGAGCCTTGCACACGCCTGGGTCACAGGGCAGCTGGCAGATTCCATGCGCTGAACGTTGTAGACGCACCGGGAGGCGCTACAGGACCTCCTACCATACTGTACCTGGTAGCTGCCTAGGTACCTAGTCAGAACAGGCCAGCACGGGGCACACACTTGTTCCTCCCTCCATTCAGGGTGTCTCTGCCCCACTAACCACTGATGACAGCACCACTCAATCTCACAGCGCACTGAATCCCGTCTCCGACATTTGACTACCTTATGGCCGATTGTAGCAGCCTTAACATTGAGCAGGAGTGGGAGGTCGTCACGCGCGGGGCCTTTCGGAGACGAATGGCAGAAGGACAACGTGCCCAGGTAGGATATATACTCTGAGCATGCACATGTACATGTAGACCAAGGTGACTTTCAGCCCTGTGAGATGGAACCGGACGACCAGGATCGAATTCCACCGACAGTCGACCGAGTCATCGACGCTTGATCGAGGTCATTTACGAGCCGGAGGACCGAACAGCTCCCCGATGTCTAGGAGCAGCAAGTCCCTAGTTGCTCATTGTTGCCCCAGTCATCCGGTCTTTCTTCTGCTGGTGAGTGTCGTCGTATGGCTCGCTTGCTGGCATCAACAAAAATCTGGGTTGCGCGTTGATCGTGATGATAATGATCCCCGCTTCTGGTGCTGCCTCACTCCTGCTGCCTGCCTGGACGTGCTGGGCGGGCGTAGTGCCGGGGCACACCCAGAGAAAGTGTCGCCTTCTGTGGCATATACTAGCACAGTTCAAATGGTCTGCTCGGCTGGACATGGCGGGCTTGGTGAAGCGGAGACTGACAAGGAAATCACATCACAACAACCAGGCCGCCTCTTGCTTCGCTGCCTTCGCTGCCTTCGCCTGCTTCGCCTGGCCTGGCCCGACATCTCTCCACTCCACCGTTTCTTCCATGCTGACATTGTCCTGACCGACTCGGGCTGAGTCAATAATCGGCGCCCCTCCGAGACGTTCCTTGCCAGTACTGTGATATATGCGCGGGTTGCGAGCAAGCGCCAAGATATAAATCGAAGGAGCGAAGGAAGGAATGAAGGAATACGAAGCGTCATGGCATCGACCCAATGCACATGAGAGTCCTGGTAACATCAATAGGATTGACCCCCTTGACTCGAAGCCATTCCCACAAGGGTCCCTTCCCCCTCCCCCCCAACCCGAAACCTCTTGCTGCGCTGTGAAGTACCTAAATCTGCCCATGCTTGAGGTCTAAGGTACAGGAAGCCTTTCACCGCTCATGGGGTCAGAAGCGAGGTGCACGCACTCTACAGAACACAAGAGGGCAATTCGGTGATCATTCCATGCTCTTGTTCGTGTTGAATGAACATGTGCGACTCGGAGATTTGAAGTTTGGAGTGCATCATCTTCTCAACGATCTCGTAGGTACAGGTGCGTCTTGTGCCTCAACTT